TAATTATCCCCAGTGACCCCATTATTATTAATTACCCCCCATTGCCGTTGCCGTCCCCGTTCCAGGCTGGCCCAGCACGTCACCTTCGTTCACCGGCACAGCCGAGAACCGCCCAGCGCCTGCCGGCCCCTGGACATGAAACTCATGAGGTGACTGCTCCCAAAAATCACCTTTATTGCCCCAAAATACACCCCAAAACACACCCCAAAACACACCCCAAAACACACCCCAAATACACCCCAAGTACACCCCAAAACTCACATTTATTGCCCCGACTGTGCTGGAGCCGCCCAGCGCCTGCCGGCCCCTGGACATGAAACTCATGAGGTGACTGCTCCAAAATCCTCCTTTATTGCCCCAAAATACACCCAAAAACCACCCCAAATACACCCCAAAATACACCCAAAATACACCCCAAATACACCCCAAAATACAGCCCAAACACACCCCAAAATACACCCCAAATCCTCCCCAAAACTCACATTTATTGCCCCGACTGTGCTGGAGCCGCCCAGCGCCTGCCGGCCCCTGGACATGAAACTCATGAGGTGACTGCACCCAGAAATCACCTTTGTTACCCCAAAATACACCCCAAATACACCCAGAATACACCCAAAAATCACCCCAAATACACCCCAAAACTCACATTTATTGCCCCAAAATCCTCCCCAAAATTCTCCTTTATTACCCCAAAATACACCACAAAATACACCCCGAATACACCTCAAATACACCTCAAATACACCCCAAATCCACCCCAAAACACACCCCAAAATACACCCCAAATACACCCCGAATACACCCCAAAAATCACCCCAAATACACCCCAAATACACCTCAAATCCACCCCAAAACACACCCCAAAATACACCCCAAATACACCTCAAATACACCACAAAATCCTGCTTTATAATCCCAAAATACACCCCAAAACACACCCCAAATACACCCAAAAATACACCCCGAATACACCCCAAATGCTCCCCAAAATCCTCCTTTACTACCCCAAAATCCATCCCAAAATTCACATTTATTACCCCAAAATCCACCCCAAAATCCACCCCAAAATCCACCCCAAAATTCCCCTTTATTACCCAAAAATACACCCCAAAATCCCCTTTTTCCACCCCAAAAATCCACCCTAAAATTCCCCTTTATTACCCCACAATCCACCCATCCCTGCTGTATATTTAATTTATTTCTATTTTTCCCAAAATCTCTTTTTTTTCCCCATTTTCAGGCGCTACATCGCTGCTGTATATTTTATTTTTGCTGTATATTTAATTTATTTCTATTTTTCCCAAAATCTCTTTTTTTTCCCCATTTTCAGGCGCTACATCCCTGCTGTATATTTTATTTTTGCTGTATATTTAATTTATTTCTATTTTTTCCCAAAATCTCATTTTTTTCCCCCATTTTCAGGCGCTCCATCCCTGCTGTATATTTTATTTTTGCTGTATATTTTATTTATTTCTATTTTTCCCAAATTCCCGGTTTTTTTCCCCATTTTCAGGCGCTCCATCCCTGCTGTATATTTTATTTTTGCTGTACATTTTATTTATTTCCATTTTTCCCAAAATCTCATTTTTTCCCCCATTTTCAGGCGCTACATCCCTGCTGTATATTTTATTTTTGCTGTATATTTTATTTATTTATATTTTTTCCCAAAATCTCATTTTTTTCCCCATTTTCAGGCGCTACATCGCCACCTGCCGGCGGCGGCGGCCGCTGCTGCCCGAGGCTCTGGGCGAGTTCATCACGGCCGCCTACGTGGAGCTGCGGCGGGAGGGGCGCGGGGACGGCCTCTACACATCTGCCAGGACCCTGCTGGCCATCCTGAGACTGGCCACGGCCCTGGTCAGTGTCCCAGTATGGACCAGTATGGACCAGTATGGACCAGTGACCCCCAGTAACCCCCAGTGCCCATCACTGACCCCCCCAGTGTTACAGTGTCCCAATGGCTCAGGGCCTCTACACATCTGCCAGGACCCTGCTGGCCATCCTCAGACTGGCCACGGCCCTGGTCAGTGTCCCAGTATGGGCCAGTATGGACCAGTGACCCCCAGTGTCCCAGTGGCTGAGGGGTTTTTACTCATCTGCCAGGACCCTGCTGGCCCCCCTCAGCCTGGCCACGGCCCTGATTTTGGGTTATTTTGGGTTCATTTTCTCAGATTTTGGGTTATTTTGGGCTATTTTGGGTTCATTTTCTCTGATTTTGGGTTATTTTGGGTTATTTTGGGCTATTTTGGGTTATTTTGGGCTATTT